GTCACCTTTGGGTTCCAGTCACTGGTCCTCTCTATGGATCTGACGGTCCATAAAACTCCTCCTTGTGCAGGAAAACACTTCTGGGGCTCTCTTGAGAGTCTGATGGCTTCTTACACCAGCATCTCCCAGAAGTAGCTACATTCATGAGTATTTTCTTATAAAATATTTTAAGGCTTATGCGTTCTCCTGAAGTAGCCTGCAGTGTGCTTCTTGGGCTCTTACTTTATGTCGATGCCATTGTCCCCGATGAGCCCAGTGTTCAGTTCACAAGTTCTGTAAGTACTAACTGACGATACAGGAGTGTTTTTCTGTGCTCCCAGGTGGACTGTTTGGATGTGATTGTAATGCTTCCGCTCCCTCTTTCCCCCCATTCTGTGTTCAAGCATCTACAATTCGATCTCGGAGCTGCTTTAATTCTCTGGGTGAATGAGCTGTTGGGTGTTGCCTTGACATTTGCCATCCATCCTGGATTGGCTCTAACCTCCTCTTTAACCCCATCTCCTATTAATCAACAACACAATCACCCATTCTCAGGCAGCTGGTTCTTCATCAGCCTGTAAGCCAGAGGCAAGGAAGACACGTGAGGGTGGTTGGGAGACGGTGATGACCTGGGCGGGCTGAAGCAGTGTTCTCTGCCCTGGCTGAGCCCTGGGGGTGCCCCGGGAACTTTGAAAACTCAGGAAGCTCAGGTCGCACCCCGCTGCAGTTTAGTATCTGGGGGGTGCCAGCCCCGTGTTTGCTGAAGTCGGGAGTCACAGGCTAGAGACAGAGGTCTTCGCCACAGAGAATCAACATTGTGCTGTTGGTTGCTTTCTCTAATGCTCTGCCTCTGATCTAAACCCAGAATGCACATTCTTGTCTCTCAGTCTTTACTCACTCCCCAGAGTATCCCCTCCGGAACGTCCTCTCCTTGTCTTTCACTTACTCAAATCCATTTTCAAACTCTGGGTCTTATCTATTACTCAGGCTTCCAAATAGACCTTCCAATATACAGTGATCTCCGAGATCTTCATACCTTAAAAAATCCCATCATTTATTGGGCTGCCTGGGTGGCTCAGTCGGTTAAGCATCTGCCTTTGGCTCAGGTCCTGGGATCAAGCCCCTCATCTGGCTTCTTGCTCAGTGGGGAGCCTGCTTCTCCATCTGCCTACCACTCCTCCTGCTTGTGCTCTCTCTCTCTCTCTCTCTCTCTGTGTGTGTCAAATAAGTAAATAAAACCTTAAAAATAATTATATCACTTAACTCATAGATACCATGTGGTGACATATGCCACTAATTATTTTCATCTCTGTTGTAACATCCAGCCCGGTGACCTTCTTGAAAGAACTACAGGTTTATAGTAAAGTATTTCCGGGCTTTGCTGAACAGTGTTTCTAATTTAAATCTAAGTGGGTTTTGCTTATTTATTTTTAAAACTCCATTCCTTTGCCTTATAACTCAGGGGTTTTGAACTATTGTAAGTTATGGATCCCTTTGAACATCTGGGGCAAGCTGTAGGCCTTGTCCCCAGAGATGTGCTCCCACAACTCTGTTCTGCACACTGTCATTGGATTTCTAAGACCCTTTGTAGCCCATCCGTGGACTTGTTTTAACTGTTTGTTTTCAGCTAAGAAAAGGGGTTATTTTAATGGTGGAAGGGGAAGGATCTTGAGATCCTTGGGAGAGATCTTTTTTTAGGAGCTACAGTGTGTGTGTGAGGGGAGGAGATACTCCGATGGGTGGGAGGGCTTCGGTGTTTCTCAGACATGGCTGGGACCGCAGGGTGGGGCTGCTGCTGCAAAAGTGGGCAGAGCTAGTATCTTGACCAACCACTAGGTGTCACTACAACACCAGTTAGTTGTGGGGCCTTGGCACTAGTGTGCTGGAACCCAGGAGTAGAATGCAGGAAAGCTGCAGTGACTTCCTGTCCGGGACTAACTATGGCCAAATGTTGGCAGAATTTGCTTTCATTATTATTTTTTTCAATAGAAGGAAGAATAAAGGGTAGACAAGGGCACATTAATTGTAAATAAGTTGAAAGGGGAAGAAAAGGTAAGTGAGGTGGGTTTATCTGGGAGTGTGATGTAATACCGGGGTTCCAGTTTCCGCTAGAAATGACATTTTCTTGGACGTAGTTTTTCTTTCTTTCTTTCTTTCTTTCTTTTTTTTTTTAAACATTTTATTTATTTATTTGAGAGAGAGACAGTGAGAGAGAGCATGAACGAGGAGAAGGTCAGAGGGAGAAGCAGACTCCCCGTGGAGCTGGGAGCCCGATGTAGGACTCGATTCCAGGACTCCAGGATCATGACCTGAGCTGAAGGCAGTCGCTTAAACAACTGAGCCATCTGGGTGCCCTTGGACGTAGTTTTTCTTGTCTCTCTGAGAAGGGATGTTGGCTGGATGGGCCTTTCAGGCTTCTAAAACACCAAGTAAATATTATTATGTAATTTACCAATACTCCAAAATTCATTTTGAACCAATAGTGACTGCCCTTTTAGTAAGAGTGTGGATAGTGTGCTATTATTTAATATAAGGGCATTTTTCTTGTTTGAGGTGTATTTTACTAAAATTCTCTTTTTTTTTTCTTGCAATATAGCCAAGGCTGTTACCACACTAAGCATTAGCTCACTTTGTTTTCTGGCTACATATTGCATTTTGTTCCTAGTCAAATCTTTTACAAACACATGTATTTTGGCAAGAAAGTGTATCATAAATCTATCTTCATTGATTTAAGGAAACAGTGTGTGTTAGTATATCCTTTGATATCAGCCATAGAAACATTTTTCTAGATAATGTCTTCTTAGGCAAGGGAAATAAAAGCAAAAATAAACTACTGGGACTACATCAAAATAAGCTTTTGCACAGCAAAGGAAACCATCAACAAAATGAAAAGGCAACCCACTGAATGAGAGAAGTTATTTGCAGATAATATATCCACTAAGAAGTTAATATCCAAAATATACAAATAACTTATACAATTCAACACCCAATAAACAAATAATCCAATTAAAAAATGGGCAGAGGACCTGAGCAGACATTTCTCTGAAGAAGATATACAGATGGGCTACAAGATGCTCAACATTACTAATCATGAGGGAAATGCAAATCAAAACCACAATGAGATTTCACCTCACTCCTGTTCAGAGTGGCTAGAATCAAAAAGTCAAGCAATAACAAGTGTTGGTGAGGATGTAGAGAAAAAGGAGTCTTCATGCTCTGTTGGTGAGAATGCAAACTGGTGCAACCATTGTAGAAAACAGTATGGAGGTTCCTCAAAAAATTAAAACTAGAATTACCATATGATCCAATAATGCTACTACTGGGTATTTACTCAAAATGAAAATGCTAATTTGAAAAGATACACGCACCCCTATGTTTATTGCAGCATTATTTACAATAGCTAAGATATGGAAGCAGCCCAAATGTCCATCCATAGATGAATGGATAGAGAATTGGTATATGTATACAGTGGAATATTACTCGTAAAAAAGGAATAAGATCTTGCCATTTGCAGCAACATGAATAGACCTATAGGTATAATGCTAAGTGAAATAAGTCAGAGAAAGGCAAATATCATATGATTTCACTTACATGTAAAAGTTAAACAAATAAATTTTAAAAAGACATAAAACCAGACTCTTAATTACAGAGGCCTAACTAGTGGTTGCCAGAGGGTGATGGGGGTGGGGGAGATGGGTGAAATAGATAAAGGGGATAAAGATGTACAAACCCTAGTTATAAAATAAGTCTTAGAGAGGAACAGTACGGCAGAGGGAATCTAGTCAGTAAGATTGCAATAATATTTGGTGACAGATGGTGACTACACTTACTGCGGTGAACACTGAGTAGTGTATAGAATTCTTGAATCATGATATTGTACTCCTGAAAGTAATCTAGCATTATATGTTCATTGTACTTAAATTTAAAATTTGAAAATTTAAAAACAGGGTCACCTGGGTGACTCATTGGTTAAACTTCTGGCTCTTGGTTTCAGCTCAGGTAATGATCTCAGGGTCGTGGGATGAGGCTCCTCATCAGGCTTCACGCTCAGTGGGGAGTCTGCTCGAGGGTCTCTCTCTCTCTCTTCCCTCTGTCCCTCTGCCCACTCACGCATCCTTTGTCTTAAATAAATAAATCTTAAAAAATTAAAAAACATTTTGTGTCAATACATCCTTCAATATTAAAAATGTGTTAGTATTGCATTATATTTAAAAATGCATATAATGGATACATTATTGCTTCAATTACAGCAATATGTCAAAGACCTAAATAAGTTGCCAGCAAATTCTGTTTTGGAGTATTTGACGGCCAAATGTGAAACTAGTTCACCCCACCTTTCTGACGCCTAGGTTTTGAAAGACCTCTTTTGGAAGTAGATAAGCTTAGCAGGAAAGTAAGCCTCTTCCCTGTGCTATATGTCTTATGAACATTCTCTGAATACATCATTGTTAACACAACCTAAGTCAGCAAAGTGGGTGTCTGGAGAGGAAACGATCTGGTGTGTTTAATACAACACGGGGTTTAATACAGGCTTCCCAACTTAGCCTGAACTCAGGCAACTCATACTGGTTTGGGGACGGGAGCAGTGGCTCTCTGTAAAAGGGGCAGAAAAGGAAATGGGGAAAGCAAGTCACTTTAAGTCTTACTATTTTAGAATTCCTGCAGGAGGGGGCGCCTGGGTGGCTCAGTGGGTTAGGCCTCTGCCTTTGGTTCAGGTCATGATCTCAGGGTCCTGGGATCGAGCCCCACATCTGGCTCTCTGCTTAGCAGGGAGCCTGCTTCCCCCTATCTCTCTGCCGGCCTCTCTGGCTACCTGTGATCTCTCTCTCTGGTAAATAAGTAAAATCTTAGAATTCCTGCAGGAATTCTTTCGTGGGAAGAATTCAGTCAGAAACACTGCCCTCTAAGAGCTGAGGAAGTAAGGCAAGCCTGGCTTTCTGCAAGGCTCGGATGGTCCTTGCTGGTTGGTCGGGGCCCAGGCCCTGCTTCTCAAGCTCACCAGTGCTTTTTGTCTCCTGCAGGTGCACAGCTTTAAGGGCTACTGGGAAAAACTGAACTCCAACCTAGAATACGTGAAGTACTCCAAGCCACGCCTGCTGTATGACAACAGCATGGTCCGGAAAGAATGGCACAGCCTGATCTCAGAAGAGGTTTGTGTGGATGCAGGAGAATAAAGCAAGAAGCAAAAGTATAGCATCCGATGAGGGGATGCCCTTTAGTCCCAAGGCTAGCTTCAGTTTGCTGCACTCTCCCCAACAGCCAGGCCCTTTTGCATTGTTGCAAGAAGACCACGGTGCTTTTCTGATCTGTCTTCTCTTGAGGAGGAAAATCAAGTGCGCAGAGGTTAAGGGACACACGCAGCATGTTTATCGTGGAAGTGAGATTAATAGCTCGGTCTTACCTGTGTTCTTGCATTACTTGTATAGTTAAAAATTGATTTAAAAAAAACCTAGGTGTTCTAAAAATTTATGGTTGCTGAGGGTTAGGTTTAGTTGAAAGAAAAGTGGCTGGGACTGACTGCAAAACGGGCAGCACAAGGGAGATCTGTGGGGGGATGGAACTGTTCTGTACCTTGACTGCGGCACGTGAATGTGCGTCCATGGTGAATTGACATAGGACTATACACTCATTCTAGCAATATCTGCCTCCTGATTTTGATACTGTACTATAGTCCTTTAAATCAGATATAAACATGGGGGGAGACTGGCTGAAGCGTACATGAGATCTTTCTAGAATCTCATGTAGTTGCAGTGTCATTGTATATAACACAACACTGTCTAGTTGATTTACAACTTCCAACACATCTATAATAATTTCAGAATAAAGTGCTTTTTAAACTCATTTTTAAGAACATAGGTATTTTGATTGCTTGGAAAGTATATTTCTTTCTTCCGAAACTCTTTCGCTATGCTGCGCTATGTCCTTGGTGTGAAAAATGGCGCCCACAAAACTTCGACCTTCCACACCTCTGACATTTTCTCCCTTCTAGAAAACTGGAAGAAGAAGGTCCATGGTGTACATGAGGAATATTCGTGAAAATGCAATGAAGTAAGTAAAATTAGGGATTAGTGTACCTAGAAGATGCGTATCTTTTGCGAGTACTTTTTTGGAGACCTTTTGTGGAAGGAGCTTCCTTTTGTTGAGTGTCCTCAACAAAACGATGCTGTGAGCTTAATGAATGCAGCCACCAGGGTCCTATCTTGAGTTTGGTGCTAGAGTTTCTAGTGGGAAAATTGTATGTTAAATTGTATAATAAAATTGTATATTAAACCTTACAGACTGGCATCCTGAAGATAGATAATTATAAACAACAAGTAGTAGAGAAGGCCCTTACTAAGTGAGCACTTTAGGGGGTTAGAGATAGTAGGTTCATTTACAAAGTGTTAGTGGGCTGCTGAGCGGGCTCTTATTTTGAAAGCCCATTTTCTGGATAGATGAGTCATCTTGGAGTGCTACGAGAATAGGCCCGTTCCAACCCTGTTCTATTTTCTGTTCCCATTATTTCCAATAACCGAGAGCTGCAATTGTTCTAAATTATTGTCATTGTTTGCGCTAAAGGGTTTTGAGATTTTATAATCGCCTAATGTGGCTTTTGCCAAGTTGATTAAAGTGTTTGAGGTTTTCAGCTGCCTGAGAACAGTTTCTGCGGTGGTTTTATGGAGGATATCTTTGTGGGGTATTGTGGCTTTTTTTTTAATCTTCCTATGTGAATAATGTTGGCTAATTTCTTTGTAGGGTGATTTCTAACCTAGAAGCAAGGAATTTGGGTAAGAAGAGAAATGTAATAAAGTCCTCTTTATTTGATTTCTGTCAGTGTTTGGTTTGTAACCCTGTCTTTCCTACCGGTGTGGGTTGGCAAGGAAATCACGCTCAGTAGTGTAATGAAGGCAGCACCCCTTTAATATCTTCCTGTTAGAGTGACCACCCAGCTCCTTCCATGTCTGTCTTGGCACCAGGACCTTTCAGGACAGCTGCTGAATGTGCTTTTGCTGGAAGAGTCCCTGAGTGTTGGCATCTGGTTTTCATTATTTTTCTTCAGATACTTGATCTAATTACCATGCCCTGTGGCTGTACCCACACGATGCACTTCGGGAGTTCCTCTGGCTTAGGGCTGCTTTCCTTCCAGCTTTTCAGCTGTCTGATCACACAGGGATCTTTGATTTTGGGTAACATTTGGGCACTCCCTGGGCTAGGTCATAGGAGTCCAAAGATAGGAGTCTCTGGGTAAGCTGTGTGGTTATAGAGGAAGAGCATAGGCCTGGAGCCAGACAGAACTTGGCTACAGTTCCAGGCCAGCCACATGCTAACAATGTGCTCTTGGGCAAGCCATGTGTTCGCTTTCTGCATTAACTTTTTCAGGACAAGGTGAGAGGAAAAACAAGAGTAAATGGGGTAACGTTTATAGCACCTCGTACAGCGCTTGGTGCACGAGATACCTGAGGGCTGCTTTGTCATTGATGTGTGAGGAAGAAATGCTGATGGCGATGGGTGTTCTAGAACCACCGTGGTGGGGTGGGGAGGCATTGGATCAGGAGTGGGGATGGTTGGGGAACAGAGCGAGCTCAGAAAAGTCTTTCCAGGAGTGACAGCTGAGGTAAGTTTTGATTAAACACCCTACCAGGTAAAACTGAGGGACGAGAATGCTAAACGTATCCAGGTACAAGCTTTTTTGTGGTTTTGTCTCTGGAACACTTTCATGCCTCCTAAAGGCCAGCCTCCATTTAAAAAGCTATTATTTTTATATCCCACTTATGTTTTATAGGCTTGGATATTTAGGTGTATGCTGGGTGACCCTAACGGAAACGATTTTATACAGTGCATTGTGGGACATCCTGCAGCTGTGCACATAAGTCATGTGAACCGTGACAGTGAACTTGTGATCCAGCCCAGGGTGACAGGGCCTTTGCTTAGGGAGCAGCCGGGAGGGAACCAGCCTCTGCCTGTGTTACCAGGCCAGCCATGCCCAAAGCCAGGGGTTCTCCCGCTAGCACCAGGCAGGAGCAGCGGGCAGGAGTCCTGCCCAGCAGTGGGGACGTGAAGGTGCCTGGTTCAGGCTCATCCTTCTTGCCTGGCCAGGAATTTTGCCATGCGGGAAATGTTGCCGGTTGTCAAGGTTTTTGTGGTGTCTGTCACTCCTCTGCCCCCGTTAGAGCTCCTACTCCTGTACTTTCCGCCTGTTTACATCCTGTAACCATTCTCTCTGCGAGCACTTTGGGAACTTGTCCCTTCCTCTTACGTTCTTGGCTTGCCCTAGTGTCCTAGGAAGAATGTCATCACTAAAAGAAACAGGACAGTCAGGGTGAATCTCAGGGCTGCTGGCATCAAGTTTTGAATTGCTTCATCTGAATCAAAAAGCTCATTTGGGCTCCAGGTCGGATTTATCCCGAGTGGACAAAAGGCCCCTGTGCCGTCCCACACAGGGTCATCAGCCCACTGACTGGGGCAGTTCTGCTCTCTTGACAGGTGCGTGCCTCAGTTGCCCCAGGAGAGGAGGAGCAGGACACGAAGGTGCAGTTAGAGGAGTGTTAGGCACATCTTGCCACAAGACTGTGTTGTCTGCCCCTCCAGGCTGCTGGTATAGTGCAAATCACGGCAGAGGAAATGCCATCCCATTGACCCTTCCGTGTCGCTTCTCCATCTTGAGCTGGTTACTCTTTGAGTCAGATCACTTGTAACAATTCGTATTATTTGCTTCAGTAATTGACAGGTCCCCTCAGTTCAATGACTCCCACAGTCACTAAACCATAGGGGGTCACGAGGAAAGCAGTCATGCAATCCTTTCCACCAAGTCCCCGTCTCTGAGTTTACGGCCCCCTTGGCGTTAAGAAAGGGCCCAAGTGTCTCTCACTCCAGTGAAGCAGAGGTCTTTAGACAGCAGTGAGTTTTCACATTGAAATCAAAGCCAGAGCCTCTTGGTGTCGGGCAATGTGTTCCTTGTTTTCTTTCTTTCTTTCCTAGTCTTTTGGAGTAGAGCTGTCTGTGTATCACCTGGGTGACAAGTTCAGCTTGCAGGAATAGGTCACGCATTTCATGAAAAATTTCATCCTATCAGCAAAATGGTCTGTGTTCCCAATAACTCAGAGAAGGGAAACCCAGGCTGATTTCTCGTCTTCTAGTCCATTTCCCAAAAACCACCCTTCTTGACTATTATTTTGTTTAATTTCAGAGCCAAGATTAACACCCCTCTTCCAGGAGGAAGACAACCACCAGAGGCTGCTGATGGGGTTGGTAAGTTTTCTGTGGGCCGTTCGGGTGCTGAGAAACCACAGGATCCAAGAAAAGGGAAAGGGCTAGACTGTCCTTCTCGTGATGACCTTATTTTTCACTCATTCTTTTAACCCATTAGCTGTTACCAGCCACTGTAGGCCCTGTGTGCTCAGTGGTAGACAACACAGATATGATTTCTGCTCTTTTAGAATTTAGTGTAGTGGGGGAGACATACATAAATCAGTCACCGCCCAAAATATATAATTACAAAACATCATAAGGAAATGTACAGCACTGAGTGTTTAAAAAAAGGAAAGAACGATGTCTCCGTGGCATTTGTATTTGGGGTTTAAAATACAACAGAATAAAGTATCCTTTCTCAGGAAGTCCTACTGCTAGGAAGACCAAAGACAGAGAAATCAAAATAAATGAATGGAAGAGCAGAATTGGTAAATAAATCCAAAATCTATTTTTTTTTAAACTGATTAAAGAGACATCTGGAAAGTCTAATAAAATATCTTTAATCCTGTGCAGGCTTAGGAATGGGATAGTCTATTACCTTAGCTATGGAAGGTTTTCAAATGTGAGAAAAACATGTGTAAATGCATATTTACACATTTGAAAATTCTAGTTAAAGTTTCCTTGGTAAATAGAAATACCAAACTTGAGCCAAGAAGAAATAAAAATCCTTGACAACACAATAACCCTAAAATAATTTGAAAAAAATTGTCAGAGATTATCTGCAGGGGCGTCTGGGTGGCTCAGTCAGTTAAGTGTCCAACTCTTGATTTGGGTTCAGGTCACGTTCTCAGTGTCCTGAGGTTAAGCCCCGTGTTGAGCTCCACACTGAGAACAAAGCCTGCTTAAGAGTCTCTCTTCCCCTCCCTCTTCTGACTCCCACATGCATGCACTCACTCTCTCTCTCTCTTAAAAAAAGAAAAAGAAAGAGATAATCTTCCAAAAAGGCACCAAATTATTTAATGAGTTAGTTCTTTCAAACTTATAAGGATCAGATCATACCCAGGCTATGTAAATTATTTTTGAAAAAACGATGGGAAGTTTCTCAATCACTTTAAAAGGCTAGCATAACCCTAAAACCAAAATCTAACAATGACTTTTACTTTCAGTTATGAACATAGATACCATAAGCTCAATTAAAATATTTTCCAGTGGTCCATTTGAAAAATACAACATGGCCAAGTGGCCTTTTTTTTTTTTTTTTAAAAGAAGGCTTATCATTAGCCACTGTATTAATGTAGTTCATCATATCACTAGGTCAAAGAGGGGGAAAAAAGATAATCTCTATAGGTGCTAAAAATTGATAAAAGTAAAATTCCACTTCTGGAATACACCAAATCAATAAGACAAAAAATATCCTAATACTGATAGCTGACATATTTTAAATCAAATGTTGGGGTCATTCCTATTAATATCAGAAAGAAGCGGGATGCCTGGGTGGCATAGTTGGTTGAGTGTCCAACTCTCGATTTCGGCTCGGGTCATGGGATTGAGCTCCCTGTCAGGCTCTGTGCTATGCACGGAGCCTACTTAATATTCTCTTTCTCCCTCTCCCGCACTCCTGCCCCATCCAGGTGCTCTCTCTCTCTCTCTCAAAAAACAAAGAAAGAAATTACGGATTCTTGCTGTTTTCACTAAAAATTTTCATTGTTCTGGAAATTCCATACAGTGCAATAAGAAACAAAAGTAAAAGAAGATGCTATGATTGTCTAATGCAACAAACAAAATAATCACCAGGGGAAATGGAAAATACTAAGGAACAAGTTAATAAGCTGGTGATTCTAAATAGATTTTCTTTTTTATTAGGATTAACCAGTTAGAAAAGTTAATGAAAAACATTATTCCATTTCCGAATCCTCAGCATCTAGGTTTATAAAGTTATAACCCAAAAGTCTGACAGTTGACCAGGTGACTCACTTGACAAAAAGGAGTAGAACTGACACTACCAGATAGCTAAGTGTGTTATTGATCTACAGTAATTGAAACAATATGGTGCTTGTACAAAATAGACAGGAGACTCTAGTTTAAATTTGAATCTTTAGTGTAGGATAAAATTAGGCATTTAAAAATCACTGGAAAGAAATACTTTTTTAGTCTATCAATGGCTGTCTATCTGGAAAAGACAATTAGAGTCCTCCTATCCCAAATACCACCACCTTATACCATAAACCAGCAGAAATACCAGATAGATTAAGGAATCTAATATAAAAAATTAATGTGTGTGTGTGCTTGCCTATCCAATTGTCAAAGTTCAAAAATCGCACTAACATGGGACGCCTGGGTGGCTCAGTTGGTTGAGCGGCTGCCTTCGGCTCAGGTCACGATCCCGGTGTCCTGGGATCGAGTCCCACATCAGGCTCCTTACTCAGCAAGAAGCCTGCTTCTCCCTCTGCCTCTGTCTGCCACTCTGTCTGCCTGTGCTCACTCTCTCTCTCTGACAAATAAATAAATAAAATCTTAAAAAAAAAATCGCACTAACAAAGTTCAGCATATGGGGAATTGGGCAGCCTTATACAATGCAGTTGGAAACCAGTATATCCATTAGCATATCCACTGCAAAGTGTTTCAAACCTTTAGTACATGACCCAACAAGTTCTATTTCTAGGAATTTAGCTTAAGAAAATAATTGGGGATATGGCAAACAAATCATGTATAAGGGATTTTTTAGTGGTATTCACAATAGTGTAAGAAGTATCCCATATGTTTAAGAGGAGAATAAATAGTTCAATTCTAGTTGTTTCATAAAATTGAATACTGTGCAGCCATTACAACCAGCGTGGTAAAGAATATTCAATGACATAAACTATTACATGAAATAAAGGGCAAATTAGAAAACATTGGAATGAGTGTGCACACTGGAGAAAAGGAAAATAAAAAATCCAAAATGTTAACACAGATGATAGGATTATGGGTGATTTAAAGTTTCATTTTTATGGTTGTCATAGAAAAATGGAAAAGCACAAAAAAACATGCAATGATCTTTTTTTAAAATTTAAAAATTTTAAGCCTAGTTAATTAACAAATGGCCCAGAATGCCATGGGCTAAGTTTTGCTCAGGGTCTCATATATGTATGTATACATATAGCAGATATGTAAATCTGCTAACATAGTAGATATGTGCAGGTATGGTGTTAATTGTACAATTCTCATGGTGTTTATTGGTGCAAAGATCTCTAATGAGGAGGACCTCCAGCTGTTTTAGGCAAAAGAGAGGGAAAAAAAGGAGAAGGAGACATAAGAGCAAAAGGCCGGGAGAGCTGGGATGCTACACTGCACTGATTGGTGAGCTCCAAGATGAGAATAGAGTAGATATACAAGTCTGTTTAGATGTGATAGAATCAATAATTTCATTACTTTTGCATGTCAGGGGGCTGTGCTGAATGTCTAGAGGGAGGTGCCTGATGCATTTCGTTTTTACTCCTGCCCCTGTCCTTCCAAATGCCCCAAAGCATGCCACTCCCCACTACACCTCCCCAACACCCCACAGCCCCCACCCCCACCCCGCATCAACACAGTCACTCCATGCTTGCAGTTGTTTCTGTAAGTTCTCCAGGTCTGGGACCAGTAGACTTCAACCCTTTGGTAGATCCCAGAGCCCTTGACGTCTAAGTTAGTGGCTTTCCTCAGCTTCTTTGGAGAATTCTCATCACAGCTGGGAATCTGACTCTTGGCTGTTCGCTAGGCTCTGGGTGACTCCTCATGTCCCTGATTTATGCCCATTAAAGTAACACTGTGGGTTGTGCGTTTCCGCCAGTGGGATCTTCGGGTCCAGGATTTTTCGTGTTGGTAAAGAGTATTAATGATTGGATCTAGTTTCAACCAGTAGCAGGTGCGAGTGGGTAGGTTGTGACTTTTCTAATCCATGTCCTGTTTTCAGATGGTGTCTGAGCTAAAAGACCATCTTTTGAGACACCTACAGGGTATAGAAAAGAAGAAAATTGAACAGATGGTTCTGGACTACGTTTCAAAACTGGTTGGTTTTGCTTTTTCTCTTTCCTGCTGCCCCCACTCCCCTAGTATGTAGCTCCCAGTTTGTGGTTCAGGATATTTTTCCGATTAGACTTTTGCAGATTTTCTGTCCTCACACTGGTATATTTGGTATGCTATAGATTGAGAAAAGGGAAAAAAGAACAACAACAACAAAAACCAAGGAGGATTTGGTTATGAAAGTGGTTTATTATACTCGCTTCAAACAGGGTATCGAGGAGCTCACTTTATGAATGTGGCTTTGCTCTTCCCCATGCTGGAATTAACTTGCTTCTTTGTCCTTTGATAGCCAAACTATTTAACATGTCTACCTATCATCTTTCTGTTGACCTTAAATTTCACCTTCCATAGTATTAAGGGTTTATGTTCAAGCAACACTCTTCTGTGTACCTAATCACAAAGAAGTTTTAACACAGTCTGTATTAACAACCGCTGGAACCAGTAGGACCAGAAGCAGAAGAGATGTAGCTTTAGAAAACTCAGTACCCCTCACTTTCTGACTTGACAGTCACAGACAGCAGCCAAACCTGCCTGTTCCTTCCCAGCAGCAAACAGCTGTGTCTCGCAGTCCCCTTAGCAGGGTGGCCGGTGGGGCTTTCTGAAACGAATGGAGGAAGTTGCTGCAGACCCGGACTGGATTGCTTCCAAGTCATCTTACCCGACTTCAGCCGAAGAGACACTGAGAATCTGTGTCATTGAGAATATAGTGTTTTTATCTGTGCCCACTTGGAGATCCTTTCCGATTGGTGCCCTGTCCTTAGCCTGCGCAGGCAGGGCATGGGGTTCAGGGCACGCAACAGCCCCCTTGGAGACTGCGCTATTGCTGAGAGACTAGTCAAAGGTCTGACCTCCACTTGAGGTGTGTCATCCTCCACAGTCATCACTCAGAGCCTCTGTCCTGCTCTGTGTCTCCTTTCTTCTCACTGTCCGCTGTTGGCCTTTGTCACGTAACAGTCCTAGAGTAAATCCAGTTGTGCTTGACCTTCACGGAGGGCAGAGGTCCTGTTACCCAGGGCTGGGGAAGCTCAGCAGGGGCACCGCCTGTGTAGACAGAAGGGGCTCTGTTAGACTCTGGTGCACATTTTCACTCTTTCCATTTTGGATTCCAGCACCTCAGCACTGACTGCAGAAAGGCTGGTTCTGTGTCCCGGCCCAGGCTAAACGCCAGCTCCCTGAACATGCCTGTCAGGCCTGCGGAGGGCTCCCTCTGGGGACCCCGAGGGAGAGGGTGTGGGCGAAGGGTAAGATACTGTCTTTATCTTCCAGCTGGATCTCATTTGCCAAATCCTGGAAACCAGCTGGAGGAAACACCATCTTCACCCCCGGCTTCTCCACTGGTACGCATTTCCCCCTCTCTCTGATCGAGGTGTATAAAGACAACTCTAATTGCTACCTGTTTGGGCAAAGCTTTTTTGGAACCTAACAATTGAAAGCACTTGTCAGCAGCCCCAACCCTGTCTGTCTTGGTTCTGCACTCAGCATTTAAAGGAATGGCTCTGTGGCTTCACCCACCCTCTTTCCCGGGGATATGGTTGATGAGGACCGAGGGGTGTGTGAGCTCAGGACCTCCAGGAAGGGGAATTGGAGTTAAAGCAACTGATTGTTTATGTGCCTGCCGTCTGGTTAGATTCTAGGCATGAGGCTTTCAACAGGGCCTAGCGGGAAGTCCGTCTCTCTGTGGTACTCAGAGCCACTGCTCAGACCAGTGGAGATTTAGGGATGAAGCCCTCGGCTCATGGCCGCTCTTTTGTTTTACCCAGCGGCAGGCGGGCCAGTGCTGCTGAATTTACAGTCTTTCACCTCATGACCAGGATTCTGGAAGCTACTAGGACTTTGTTTTTACCTCTGCCTCCTGGTAAGTCTTGGCTCTTTTGTCCTTTGTTGTAATACATTTGTTCTTTCTTTTTCACGTGGTCATCGGACTTTGGCACCTTACGCATTTAAGGATGAGACCTTCTGTGTCTGAGAACTTGTGTGTCTGGGGTCACTGTGAGAGAAGGGCCTCATGTTGGTCTCTGCAGACCAGATCTCCCCCACTTGTTAAATTCTACTGTGGCTCGTCACTGACTTGAGGGAACTGGAGCTGGTCCCCACGCACTCGCTAGGACACTTTGAATCAGCAGAGCTGATGTAAGATCTTTCTCTGATGTCTGCAGGCTTAGTTTATCTGATTGAGAAAGTTAACACTCAGAAGGAAGTGGGTCTGGCTGGGTGTCAGAAAATGCTTGGAAGCTAAAGATCGCCCTTGAGATTTTGAAACAGGACCAAGTCAGGCCTCAAAACACCCTTGGCACGTGTGTATGTGGTCATGCATTTAATCGGTCATTTGTTCACTCAATAAACAATCATTTGTTGATCTTTTTTTTTATTATATTCCATGTGCCATGCTAGAAATTAGAGCAGTTACAAAAATTAACAGACGTCTAATTGGGAACATGTATTCATTATAAGAAAGAAATAAGCTCCTATCTGCCGTGTGTTCATTACATATATTTTTTGGTGAGTGTTAAGCTTTATGATAGCTATGTCTATATAATGTTTATCAGCCAGTTTAATTTATTTATTCATATGCAGCTATCACATCATATATCGGTAATTCATTCCTTTACTCATTGGTTTTAAGCCAACAGGTAGACGGTTCCCATTTTGTACCAATAAGTACTTTACATAAATAAACACATTCAATTTTCCTAACAGTCCTAAATGATAGGAGCTTAAATTGAACCACATTAAATTATCAATACCCAACCAGTTTTTGACCAAAAAAAAAAAAAAGGCATTTTCATATGGTTCCACTGAATATTATTCCCATTTTATAGATGGTGAAACTGAGGCACAGAAAGTTACATAACTTGCCTGAAAGTCACATGGTGATTAAGTAACAGAACCAGTATTCAAATCCAGGGAGTCTGGCTCCAAAATCTGTGCTTTTAACGACTGTTCTGTGCTGCCTCTTGAATTTTATATTCCATTTGAAATAGTTGATGCCGAAACATTGACTATTTCTGGGCCCAGAAATCCCATAGCTCGTCTCTACTTGTCTGCATTTGTGATACGTCCAACTCAGTTTGGAGCCCTGCATGCTTTCTCTGTCCATATACCTTATCTTATCTTTTGATTTTATCAGATTCTGACAGTGACCATTCACGAGGAGAATTGATGACTTTTAATTATCCCAATAGAATAGGAAATTCAAGTTGGCCTCTAGGAAGAGTGAAGGATTTCATGAAAACTATATTAAGACTTTGTGGCTTCAACCATTAATTATTTGTCATTAACACAAAAGAGTTGGTAGAGGATTAGATTGACACTTTCAGATTTGTTCACCATGGATGCTCAAGCCAAATCTGTAAATAAATGAAGTGACTTACTGGGGGCAATTTTACACCTGGGAGACTGTAAAACTTTACTTTCTACAGAGCATCACACTCCTTTCCAGGGATGTGTAAGGAGGGAAAACGTGGAAAAATGTTATCCATAGTGATTGAGAATTATTATGAATAGACTTAATGGTTTGTTTCCATGAGTCAAGTATCTCTCTCCTTTTCTCTTAAATGTTGGTTTCCCTCATGTGACATGGAAAGTGACCCTGGGTCACGTGGGTGTGCACATGTGTGGGTAAATACAGGATTTTTGCTTGTGTACTTGTGTATGTGTGCTTGCTTTCCAAGCCTGCTGGCTAGTGAGAACTGAGTTCCAAGTGTTGGAAACTTGTAACCCAATTGGTTAAAGAATAAAGGGATGGAGGACCGTGACAGGGAGTCATGGTTCGGAGCTGGAGCATTTGTAGTTTAAATGGGACCTGTGCTTCCCTCACTGGCTATTGGAGGCCAGGGGCTCTGGAGGATGAGGACTAGATTTGGCTGGAAAAGGTCTGTTTTGGAACTGATGCCTACTTTTAGCCAATTTGCTCTGTTGCCCAGAGCTGACATGCAGAGGAAGCCAAGAGTGGACTATTGGATGTGGGGCTGTGCCCCAGGGACCGAGGAGGAAGGGTCATCAAGGATCTTCAGGACATGGATACAGGCTGAAGGAGGAATTTCGAGTCCAGGAAATCTATAGGAACCTTCAATAAACTTCTTCGGAATGAATTTCATAACTTTTTTTAATCTTGGGAAGAATGTCCAAATCCATTTGAAAAATCTCATGTTGTTGATGAGTGAATAAAATTCATTTTTTGTTTTATTGATTCAGGGAAGCCAGCAGAGTCATCTTGTCAGCCCCTTAACATCTGCTTGTGGGCAGAGTCTGCACTTTATCTGACCCTTGATGTGGCCAGGACGTAGGACTCAGTCCCTCACTGCTCATGATTCATGTGCTCAGGGAGAGACCATTGCATGACTTCTCTGAATTCAAGTTCCTGCTCTTCGGGCATCACTTCTTTGTCATGTCAGCTCCTAAGATTAGGCTGTGATCCTTTGTTTTCCCTACCCATGCCCCATCTGTTTCTGAGTGTGGACGCGTTGCCACGCACTTCTGAGCCCTTCCTTCCTCCTTCACCATCTGTGCCCTTGTTACCTCTGGTGCAGGTTCACACACTGACCTCCCAGCACGTATGTCTCATGTACCTCCCATAGCAAACTGTTGGTACTGGTACTGGTACCCAGCCCATTCTTTGTTTGTTGCCATTTTAATATTCTGAGAGTAAAACTCAAATCATTTTTCCATCTTGCTCAGAAACCTTCAGTGTCCCTCCCCAAAGTCTACTAAATAAGAAAATCCTTGCTGTCATTCAGCATTCAATCCTTGTCATGTGCGCTCAGAGCACTCTATGCTTTTGCCTTCATAGAACTGGCCATTTTTTAAAAAAAGATTTTATTTATTTTGAGAGACAGAGGGAGAGAGGGCAGGCATGCGCACATGAGCTGGGGGAGGGATTGAGAGAGAGAGAGAGAGAGAATCTCAAACAGACTTCCCGGTGAGCCTGGAACCTGAGATGGTGCTCGATCCCACAAACCTGAGATCATGACCTGAGCCAAAACCAGGAGTCAAATGCTTAACTGACTGAGCCACCCAGCCACCCCAAATGGGTCACATTTTTAATAATATGTATTTCTGTGATTATTTGATTGTCTTTCCATCAAACTGGAAGGTGGATGGGAGCAGCTTTGGGATCTGTTTTTTTCATTATTGTACACCCAGCTCCTTGTTGAGTGTCTGGAAGAGATTTGTTAAATAATTTCCAACCTTACCTCCTACCATTCCTCTCATACACTTGATTCCATCTCAGCTGGGTCTTTTAGTACTTTCTGAACATGCCCCATACTTTTGCAGCTTTCAGCCTCTGTTCATCTTGCCGCATTGATCCAGCTACCAGTTCTTGGGGCAGGAAATTGTCATGGGTAAGAGTGTTGGCTAAAGTCCCATAACCTGCATTCAAATATAGCTCTGCAACTTACTAATGATACGATCCTGGGCAACTTTCTTAGCTCCTGTGAATCCTGGTTTCCCCATTGATAAAATGGGAATCGAGTGGTTCCCACCTCTTGGTGTTGAATGAGGATCGAGTTGGCCGGTGCATAGATGGAAGTCCTCGGGATGAGTTTGTTACTGGTCATTGTTGTTCTCTCACACGCCAGGCTCTTCATAGACCTTGTGTTAGTTCTCCAGGCAGCCATGTGGGAAATGTGTACTGGTGGCTCCATTCCAGGGATGAAGAAATGGAGTCTCACAAAGGCTACTTACCTGTAGTTAGTAAGCAACACAGCAGGACTCTGGTCCAGGTCTGCTCATGCAGGTGACTCTTTCTACTGTCTCCTCTTTGTATATTCTCTGGCCTCATTTCCATGACCAGGAATTGCATTTACCCTTCTCAGCTCCCCTCATGTGTGCTCTCTTTTCCAAGGTGGCTTTTCTGATTCTCTCCTGGACTGGTATCTTCTCCCATGGATGTCATTTTTATTGCTTATTATAATACTGTGTTCAGAACGCTCCATTTCTGAGCATTTGAGTAGCCCTCCCCATGAGACTTGGGTTTGGGGAGCATTGCCTTCTCTGTTGAATTCCTATAGATTTGCTCTCTGACCATACTATTTAAAATTTTTTTTTTTTTTTTTAATTTAGTTCAAGCAGACCTCAAAAGCCCTTCTTCAGGGCATACACAGAGGTCAGGTAGACAGACTGTCCCCTACTGGTTCAAAATTTCTGTGTCAACAAGGTGGTCCCCATGTGTCAGCCTTCTAGCCTGGGCACCTGGAGTTTGAAGCTCTTCTGTTAATTGTTCTCTTTTGCCATCTTACTGCAGAATTGCAAGTCTATTAAGCTGTAAAATGGTTTTTCCTCACCCAGGCCTTGGACTCTTTTTGTCCTTTTGCCTAGGAAGGGACACACATGCTTGCTGGGAACTCATATCTACTCAGCACAATCCTTAGTCATGATAACACAAAGCAGGGGACTTGGACCTGTCTTCAAGCAGCATGTGTTAGACTCTAGGTGCCAAGGCACTGGGCTAAGGGCTTTATTAACGTCATTGAGTTCTCTCCCTCCAGAAGGCTGGAGACGCTGGCTGACCCTGTTTACCCTCCCGATCTCTCATCTAGGTTTTCACACTCTGCATACGATGCTCGGCGTCCACTGCCTCCCTTTGCATAACCTGCTGCATTACTTCGATAACGGAGTGTTGCTTCTCACTGAAACAGCCGTCACGAGGCTCATGAAGGGTAAGAGGCTCCAAGTTCACCACAGAGCCCACCCTGCTCTGAGCCCCACGAGGGTTGGCTCCGTGGTGTGCCACCCGTGTGGTCACACAGGGCCCTGCTGCGTGCAGGGCCATCTGTGCTCGGTTTAATGCTCAACATTAAATCTTGAAATCCTCAATATTGAAACAAGGGGATCCTCATTTGCCTTTTATAGTGGACTCCGCAAATGAGGCAGCTTGTCCTGCTGAGTACAGTTCATTTCCTGTAACCAGACTTTGGGCTAATTTAAAGTGCCTTAGGCCTTCAAGAGGCCCCAAAGGGCTTCTCAAGCCCCACACGGCTATTACATTCCTTCTCTGTACACGAGGGCACTTGAGGATAGGAGACTCTGAAGCCTTCTCAAGAAAATGTCATGAAATGGCTTACTTTCAGCTGATTAACTCTGTCATCTCAGACTTAGACTGAAGTACAAGGGAAATGGAGAGAGGCAGTGCTGGTGGGAACCAGAACTTGAAAGTCTCTAGTGTAATCCCTTGCTGAAATTCTTCGTTGTGGTATTTTGGAGATGAGTTTTGTTAACGTATGTTCAAGTATTTGCTGTTTCCCGAGGTGTCTTCTGTTTTTAGCTAGTAAAATTGTTTTGTGAGCAGCAGCTCGTTACAGAACCATGCTCCATGCCATATAGGAACTGCTTTATTAAGAGACAGCCCTTGTACTGAGAGACACAAACTAAAATTTTCAAGATATTGTTGGAATTGGCTTGAAAATCCAGGGTGGGGATGTGTGTGTTATCAGAATGAACCACTGAAGTATTATTAGTTTGCTCAGATGATTAAAATGGAGATTTGTTTTATTTGCCCATCTAACTTTTTTGTAGATCTGGACAATTCAGAGAAAAATGAAAAGCTAAAATTCAGCATCATTGTGCGGCTTCCCCCGGTAATCCTGAATTATGTTTTATTCTCTCCATAAGCCTTGGTATGAACCTCCTTCAGTTTCTTCCTGCAAAGGGAGCATTTACTTGTTTTGGGCTAAAGTCAATTGAAATGCTTCACTTTTCAGTCCTTTCCAAGAAATCCATCCCATCCTTCTCCACCCCTGCCGCACCGACAGGGTGCTTGTTCCTCTGGGTTTGTACTGCCTGGCACAGCCTGCCTGAAACATTTAGCCATTTTCTCCTCTTAGGAAACCACACTAATATTTATATCTGTGAGTCTGAGGGGAGGGAGAGGGGAAACATGTGCTTTTGGCATTTAAACTGATAAGAAATTTAAATACAGGTGAGGTCAGAAGGTTCTGGAACTGCATTTCCTCTCACTGCCATTTCTACCACAGCAGGAAAACATTCCCAGGTTGAAGGAAGAACGAGAAACATGAGAGAAAGGGTTAGCCAGGCACTCCTTGTTTTTTACGGGGGATATTAGCTCTCAGAGTCAGAAATACTATGAAAATATGAAATTCCACAGCAAGGTCTTCAGAGCCTCAGAATCTGCAAACTTCATGACCCTGCGAGCCCAGGGCCAGCTCTCTGCTCTGTTTACATACCTTGAACACTTGTATCTCTGGCACAATCCTCCCATGAAGGGATGTCCGCTGCCTTCTGGACCTAATCGTTTTCCTTTGTAACACCCTCTCCTCCTCACAGCTTACTGAAGCAAAGGCAAGGATAGAAAACAAAGCATATTTTCCATGGCTAGATCTCTCTGGGGAAAGTCTCTGAACATTTAGTTTGGTCTCTACATTTGATTTTTTCTTTCATTCCTTTTTTTGCCTCAAACTCTTAGGGAATTAAAATTTTCTGGGCAAACATTAGCGAGAACATGCCTCTTCCTGTCGAGACCTCACTTAGAGTTTGCAGGTACCCCATTTTGAAGAGTGGCAGATGAACTCCATTTCAAAAGAATTTGGCAACATCAGTGAATAACTGACTCTCCTCGGGGTTGAATTTAAGGGAGTATTTATTCAAAATTCAGAGGCACACCTCATAGGAGAGGGTCTTTCTTCAAGGGTCATTAACCATAAAGGGCCTCTCCTGTAGACTAACCAGCTACTTGGAAGTAATCCTTCTTAAATTATAGGTAGCTATAAGGTATGTGTACTTGATAACAGGATAAGCTACATTCTCCTCTCTATATTTTTGCATTCTTTTATTGTTGTTATTGACTTAATTTCTTTAGAGTAGTTTTAAGTTCACAGGAAAATTAAGTGCAAGGTCCAGAGAGTCCCCATCCAGCCCTCTGCCTCCACACGTGCAGAGCGTCCCCTATGACCAACATCCCCCACCGCCGCGGTCCCTGTGTTCCCACTGATGAACTTGCACTGACGCATCACCATAACCCTAAGTCCATAGTTAACATCAGGGTTCGCTTTCGGTGTTGTTCATTCTGTGCATCTGGACAGACATATAATACAATGGGTCCATCATTACGGTATTGCACAGAGTAGTTTCAATGCCCTAAAAATCCCACGCTACATATTTTTCGATTTGCCTAATAGCTTATTGGTCAGAAGATCTGTCGCCTTTGGGATCATCCTATGAGTTCTAACATTATTTCCCGGAACCACGTGAGGGTACTGCTGCTGAACTATAAGAAACAGGTGAGTGTGCGAGCGAGCACGGCCCCACAAAGTGTTGTTGGATCCTATTCGCCCGTTTCAGCGTGTCGGCAGAGACAGCAACTGTAGTTCTTTGCCCTCTTTTTTAAGTTCGTGCTTGTTTTGGAAAATCAGCTAATAGCAGACGTGGTTTCCCTTGTAGCCCCGGAGTTCTATGATTGACAAGTCGCCAGGCAGTGTGGAGTTCCTGCCTCTGAACTACTTCATTGAAATACTGGCAGATATAGAATCTTCCAATCGAGGTAACATCACTCACACGCCCTTGGGCTTTCCTGCTCTTTCTCTTGACATGGCTGTCCCAATTCACTTGTGTGGATCCTTTTCTTTCCGGACTACCCCTTGCTTCTAAGTAGTCCTGCTGCAGCTGGTTTTAATTAGTAGCATACAATTTCATTCCCAGAGTAAATTACCAAAAGAATTTGGTTTTAAAAGGGTTTAAGAGGTTTCAAAACCCATTCAGTTGGTGCAAATGACCTTTCTTGGGGGCTGAGGTAGAATGAATTTTAAGAACACATTTTCAGAGTAAAGTGTTTTACTAAAATATAAAATAATTACGATTTCAGTGAGCCGCAGGCACAATGTGATTCTAGAAGTTCCATGGCTACGTAGTAACTCTTTCCCCCTTACTTTTCCAGCTCTGTTAGCTTTTGAAGGACATGACAATGTGGATGCAAAATTTGTGGAGGAAGCAGCTCTGAAACACACCACGATGCTCTTAGGCTTGTAAAAAAGAACGTGCAGTTGTATCCACTCCCGATGTTTCAGTCTTGCTCATTAGCTTGACTTCCGTCAAGAGTCCTTTACCAATATTTACAATTGGTAACCCAAATCAGAATACATTGTTAAGCCATCTGAATTTCAGTCTGGTACTCGTTCAGACAGAATTAAACTACTATACCTCACCCTGGCTTTCAAAAGCAGACAAGCCGTCAAGTGGACAGGGGTGACAGAACGGTCTGAGAAGCATGACGTGTCCTCAGGGGTGACTTCGCAGCTTATCTTCCTAGTGGCTTATCTTCCTAATGACTTCATAGGCCCAAAGTGACTTTATACTCACTTTTGCACTCTGAAATAAAATATGCTTTAAAAAAATGTAGGGGACAGTGCTTAGAAGAACAAAAACTAGATGTGTCATTGAAGATAGCATACATATGAGAAGCAGAAAAATTCGTTACGGAAGGACTGTATTTGGAAAGAGGATACTTTTCAAAGAACTGAACTGGGAACTGGGGACTTGGACTGGGTCAAATCTGGCTATGTCCAGTAGTGGGTAATTTGTCCCATACAGCAGTGTGTACATAACGGCCTGAAGAGTAGGATTTGTCTTTGTGATGGTTCAGATGGAACTGTGCTGTAATATGTTAAAGTTTTTTGTATTTATAAAAGTTTGATTTAGTAATATCTTGACATTAAAAAAAAAAAAAAAAAAGAAACACTGAAGGTTTTGGCCTCTCATTTTTTGAACATAGCGCTTTTATTCCAGCCAGGAATCGTGAGCCCGCGAGCATGTTCTATCTCTGAGGCCCCCAAGGACACCTAACTAGTTCTCCCCCTTTTCTTTTTTCTTCCCCCTCTCTTTTATAGTGCTTCATTCTGACCCATAACGGTGGTCGCTTACCTGAGTCAGCCCGTGCCCTTTGCTTTTCTCTCTTCACAGTTTCTCACAGGGAACTTGCGGAATTGTCATGATTCTGATTATCACTAGGTAGTACAGTCATTCAACTTCTCTTCTAAAATCATACTTGAGTTCCCAAAATTGCCCTCTCCTACAGAATTTCCCTTTTTGGTCAAATATGTAGTCGTCACAGAGGCTCAAAATATCAGAGCCCTGTCAGCATGTTAGACTCTCTTCTCTTGAGAAGATCATTATTTTTCACCCCCTACCCTTTCATACTTGCGTTGTTACGCTGTCTTTCTGAAGTCCCAGTCGTCCGACTTACATCGACACTGGTCCTGTCGCTTTTCTGCTCACAGCCATTCGTTACAGGATAAGACACAAACTCCTCCACATGCAGGGCTTCCTGAATCCCAGCCTGACATGGTTCCCCCAACACGAACATGCTGTTCCAGCCAGGGCAGTTCACTGGGCCTTGAACAGCTTTTGTCTTCTTACTTCCGAGCCTGGCTCAGGCTATTTTCCCCACCTGGAAGTCCCTCCCCACTTACTGAAATCTTATATACGCTTAAGGGACCAGATAAACTGGTCCATCAGTTTGTGACTCCCCACTGTGCTGGCACACGGTGGCCCCTTCTGTGTGCACCAGTAGCACGGGCTGTAATACTTAAACATTCATCCCTTTCTGTTAAAAAATTATATTTCCATTCTTACATCATTCCTATAGGTCTATTTTTTGGATCCCTGCAACCCAGGAGCTTTGTTAAAGTGTGCAGTGTTTCTTTGTGTTAATCACACTGTTATTTATCACGGGCACTTTGCTTTTTAATAACTTTATAAAACAACCAACTTAGATTCAGGACTAACTTGGAGGCTGAGGATGAGATTAAATTTCCCTCTGTTCTGGCAGGATGGGGACTTGAAACAGATTTTGTTTCATTTAAAAAAAAAAAAAAAAAAAGAAGGAGGAATGTGGTATTTCTCACTTCCAGAATTGTGACATAAAATCCATACCTGACCCCAATATGAAATATGGCTTGAACATATTGATGAGGTAAAATCAGTTTTCAAATCCACTTGGGTATTTTCATACATGAGAAAATATAAAAACAGAATTAGGAAAATATACTTAGGTAAAATGCAATAAAATCAGAGTAACAAAGTAAGTGGAACTGGCCTCATTTTCCAACTCTGCTATACGCAAAGCTGTAAATGTTTTCATTGAAATTTTTAAAAATCTGGAGTCAGAACTTAATCACAGGTTTATTTGTATATGACATTGTAAAAAAAAAATCTAGATTTATAAGAAAGATAAATTAGAGTATAACTATTTTTGTGGCAAAAGGACTCTTTACTTGTAAAAAGAATGACCATAATATTACTTTAAGAAGGACAAGCTTCCTTACTGCTTTTTACTTGATTTACATTTACCAACATGAACTTCAAATGCAACTATTTAACAAAGTAAATTATAACCTCTGTGATACTTGGGATATTTTACTTTTCAAACAATCATTCTATCTTTTTCAAGTGAGTGTATTGAAGAGTATGTGCATTTTTCTTCTTTAATAAACAAAGACCCACTGCCAATTTCTGTACTGCATTGAAAATTTATTTTTCTTTTTTTAACTACATATTTCTAAAAGATGGTATATAAAGGGAAAAAAAGAAAAAAATACAGAAATATGCTTGGACATAACTGTAGGAAAATTCTATGTAACATCATGTAAAATGTAGTTGCTGATGAGTGTGAAAGGAAGCCATGTTGTTGTCCATTGTTGGTCGATTGTGGACACTGTATTTATAATTTAGAGCTGCTATACTGTATTTGTAATTTAGAGCTGCTATACTGATACTTTCCAGCTGTGCATATGAGGAAGCCTGATTAAAGTGTCTCCTTTAGAAGCCCAGATTGGTTCACATGCTCAGATTTCAATTGGCTTTGTAACAGGTTTCCTTATGTGCCTCATATTGGCCCCCGGTTCACTGGGCTTGAAAGGAGCCAAGGCACCATACGGTTTGGGCAAAGGAAGAGTGGCCTCTGCCTCTGGGATGTAGGCATTTGGACGTGGCTCTGCAGTTGTATAAACACCACTGGGCAGCTGGCGGTTATCTGTTACCAAGAACTCCTGCAAAGAATGATTTTTCCTTTTTAGTCTCCTGAAAATTATACTGAAGTCACTTCATACTTAGGGTCCAGCAGACACAGCTGGGTCTGAGCAGCCTTAGGCTGTGCTGATTGATATTTTCCCAAAGGGATAGGCGGGTATGAGGGTGGAGTCACTACACACACATGCACACACACATACACACTCCTCTCCTGGGAATGACCCATGTGGCTCAAGCATCATTCTGTTCCTGAGGTTTAGCGTTCATAAACTGGTTAGCGGGTCCTAAATTCCCTGTATTCCAGCTTCAGTACCTTTCATCGAGCACTAATTATTTCCATGTTTTTGAAAAACGCTGGAGTACTCATTGGTGAGCAAATGTTACAAAGGAGGAACTAAGGAGTAAAGTAGAACCAGAGGAGAGATGTGGTCAGCAGTTTGCTTCGAACCTCAAGGGGCTCAGGATTCTGCCTGTGCTTCTGGAGAACAGAGGAAGTTCTTATGGTATTAAGAACTCTAAATAATGGAGACAGATAAATGACAGCTGGGACACCACAGGTAAAATCTTAATGCCCTAAAAAACAGTCTTGGGCACTATGGGGATTACAAATCTGATCCTATTTTCAGATACTCCTAGTATGTATTTGGAAGGCATGTGTTCCTGGGTTAGGGAGTGAATAATGATCCCTTGCGGGATATCTACTTGATAGTCTCTGAGTTGTAGATCTCCAGGATGTAGTCTTCTTAGAAAGATGCCCAATTCCATTGTAAAAATATTAAAAGGTCATAGGAGTAGGCAAGACTTGGCACCCATCATGCGGGCACAGTCAGTGATAGGCCTAGACTGAGGCCAGTGGCAGGAGAAGAAAGATGTGATCTTGAGGCCTATGACACAGACCGAGGAGCAGAGTCTGCAGAAGGCTGTGGCACCTGGAAGATGCTGAAGGCCTTGCAGTGTGCTGTGGGGGCCCCTGATAGCCAGATATGGGAGAATAAGGTATGGTCTGAGTAGGGATACAAGGACAGAGACTAAAGACGTATGGATAAAACCAGAGCCAGCTGAGCCACCATCCTGCCAATGGCTGAATGCCACAGAGGCCATGTCGTAAGACTGTGGGGTGGGCCTTGGTGCTCAGTGAGGGCTTTCTGGAGAATATTATGGCACTCTGGACTATGATTTTGACTTGTCTACATCCTGTCTTAAGCAAAACTTTCTAATGATTGTCAGAACTAGGTGTGTGGTAGAGTGGGAATTTTTCTTCTATTTCGGGAGGACTGAAATCCCTGAAAATGGCCCTTCCTGGCACTCTTTACCAATGTGACAAGGAAGCAAAGCTTACCCGAGATTTTTCAGCGATGGCCAAAGCATACATTTCTTCATCTCGAAGTACCTTCAACCATTCTCTCTCAATGTCTTTATTGAGTGGCAGACCCTTTTCTATCCTGGAACTGCAAGAGAAGATGAAGTCTTCTTTCTCTCTGACTTCCTTTTGGAGTTCAATGGCCAGAGCTTGTTTCATGGACAGCTCAGCAACGAGAGCCATCATTTGTTCCGTAGCATCTCTGATCTTTTTCCGGTAGCCGTTCATCTAGAATGAAAGTGCCCAAGGCTTAGACTACATACCTTCCATGAAGAGTTAAGAAAATGGAGGGCTGAGGGCTGTCTAGGCTGGTCGGGGGCATTCTTCCCTGAAGGAAGGAGAGTTTAAGGGGGAATGCAGAGAAAAATAAGAATTAGAGGAGATCTCAGAGATTGAGGCCAATACCTTGGCTGTGTAAATAAGGATAGGATGGAGAAGAAACAGATCTGCTCATCTGGTTAATAGAGTTCCAAGTGCATAGCACTGAGAAGAAATAGTCCCTTTATTTTTAAGAGGTGTTAAGGAGAAGGGGACAGGGTATTCTTGATGTCTAAGTTTCTGGCCTAATTTTGCCATGTTTTTAATTTGTCACTCATCTAGCAGGAAAAAATCTGGTAGGACCAAATCTATATCCAAAAATTACTTGTTACTTACAGAAGATAATCAGCAGCGGTCCTGCATCTGAAATTATTTTTAACGGAAAATATCATATCTCATTGTGGTTGCATTATTGATCATACTTCCTGGGATGTATCATTATTTGGTCATAAACAAACATGAGCTGAACCTGGGGAAAATCTGGCCAGTAATTTGAAAGGAAATGTTTCTTGTTCTGTGTGTATGTTTACGATTTCACACCAGCTAGTTATCATCAAAGAATTGAAAGATAGGACTAAGTGGAACATAGACACCAAGCACAATTAAAACAATGTTGAACGAAGGAAATAATTAATTCTATTCTATTTTAATCCTCCAGGCCTTTGAACCGGGGTACACTGACATATGAGTTTCCAAAAACTACACCTGATCTTGAAACACTTTCTTCTCCTAGTAGAGCAT